CATCAGCCAAGTCCCGACAGATGGCTTCATGGTGAATGGAATCGCTGTCGACGTGGTCATTTCTGCCGGCGCGGTTCCCCTGCCCAGCGGCTTGGACGGTGGAATGGGCTGTGCGGGAAACTTGCTATAGAGGCCTTGGAGATCGTCAGCATGGAGCGTGCGCACATTGGAGGCATAATAGTCCTGCAAGTGATCAAAGCAGCAAGGATTTCGCACACCAATTTCAAAAGCAAGGTCTTCCTGCTTCGGAAGGTCTATAGGTGGCCGAAAACCTTGAGAAGTCTAAGTTGAACATGTTCATGGACCCGCAACATACTCATGTCCTGTCTGGCAAAAAGGGTGTCTTCTGCAACACGTTCATGTCTATCATGTCTCTACTTAGCAGGACATGCAAGAGACATAAGTAATTGCCGGTCCTTGAAGGGAACCTCTGGAGGAGCACTAGGAGCACCCTGCTGGACCTGGTCAGAGTGAGCATCTTGAAAGGCCAACGGGGTCGGAACACGAACATGGATACGCCTCCGGTGTGTTCTTCGTCACCCCAAGGCCCGGTTGGCATGGCCCAGGTGTTGGATAGTGGGCTGAAGCCAAGGTACCAACAAAACCGACTCCCCAGAACCACAGGTTTGTAGAGGAAAGTCCTCTCCAATCCCCTTTTTGTTTGGTCTTTTGTTCAGTGATGGACTTGATATGGGACCGTCCGTCCGACGGATGGTCGGACGCGAACGAAAAACGTCGTGCACAACCAAGCAGCTCCTGGGACGTCCACTTCTTAGCTGAAGATGATCTGATATCTGTCCTGCTCACTTGCGACCAAGGGACGATCTCCAACTGCGGCTTCCTCAGTGGGCCACGTGGCGATGGGCCGTTGTTGGCCTGGATCTGTTTCAGTGATACACCCTGGGAGAGATACACATGGAACCTGAAAACCACAGGGTTGTAGAGGAAAATAGTCTTCCAGTCTGGTCCATGTTCAGGTTCGTACCCCTCCGCGAACCCGTCCGTTCTGACGGGGTCCAAAGATCCAACGAGAAGCACATGGCGAACTGCGAAGGCACGTGATGGCCCGTTGATCGAACATCGTGTTTGACGTCCACATTAGATGGCATTTCAGGAAGACGAGTGCATGATACTTGGGCAGTTGCACCCCATAAGGAAATGCTTGATCGTCTATGTTGTCCGTTCAGGGAATAGGGACTAGTCCCTATTCGAGGGATTCCTAGGGTGTGTGCCTGTGCTGAGCCCTACCCAGTGCAAAGGGGAGGTGAGGTGGATTGAAGAATGAGTTGTAGGAACAGACTTGCTGAACCCACTTTGTACAAATTGAACTAACATGAAAAAACTGCTGTGACACAGCCACAGGCTGTTATAGACTTATAAGATCTTGTAAGT